TTGTTGTGGTGTGTGCTTCTTCGGAAGTACAGATAATCTAGGTGTTTAGCTAGCTTGGATTGTGGTGTCTCCGTAGGACAACTCTGATACGTAACACCGGGGCCTTTTGGGAGTTTTATTGGTTACTGTTGATTTTGTGTGCCCCTGTGGCGTATCCTGTTTAGTGATGATTGCTGATGATACTATATATATTTTGGGCCATTGGCCGATTGTTGTACATATGATGATGTTGATGACACGGATGATGTATGTATGTTGTTTTGCGTTACGACATACTATATTCATTTTCCGCTGCAACTTTATTGAAAATTAGTTTGGAAAAAAATGTTTTGTGGAAAATTTTGATGAGAATTGTGACATCCCGTTGTGGGGGAACTCTGATGTGTGATTATTTATTTGTGTTATTTTTATTTTGGGAAACGGGGTGTTACATGTTCCTCATCAGATTCGTAAAAAACTTGAGAAGAATCAAGTTGTTGAGATAGTTGTTGTTGTTGTAACGTAACATATAACACGATATCTGAGAAACCAGAATACTCATGACTGCGGAACATGCTACGCACATCTTCATCGTCTCGAATATTTAATGGGAAAAATTTGCATTCACTATGCCCGCCAAAAAACAATGGATTTTTGTATATTATTCGGCCAACTAGAGCACATTGCAGTTTTTTGTTCTAATCTTGACTTCAAGTGTAACAATTTTGACCTTCTGTCAATCAAAAATCTCGTAACACCAGTGTTTCTGAAATTGTAACCGGCTATGTCACATTCAAAAACCTCACCGTTAAGATGTGCACTAATCATGCATTGTGGTGTTTGAGACATAGCTAATGTTTTAGTAAAATTGTGTTTGGAGGTATTGTTTTACTAATTGATATGATAATAATTTAGATCTCTCTACTGTATTAATAATAATAAAGTGAGTTGCATGACAAAGCAAAACCCTGCGCGCCTTCTGAGTGAGCTGCATGACAAGATAACACTCTGCATGCCTACATAGTGAGCTTCATGACAAGATAACACTCTGCGCGCCTACACAATGAGCTGCATGACAAGATAACACTCTGTCTACCATCTGCACTATGTCTACAGTAACCGATTTCCTGCATGCCTACCGTCTACAGTAACCAACTCTATGCAGGCCTACGAGATTCTTACTAAAAAATGTATACACATGGCTACAGTAACCGTCTATACTCTGCATGTATGACAAGACTAAACACCACAACATGCATTTCTAAGACAAGACTAAACCGAGTTCAAAATGTTTTCTGATTTGTTATATTTTATCTAATGTACCTCTAGTTCATCATATTGGAAAAAAAATTATGTTGTAACAAAATTTTATTTTCTTAATTTATTAAATAATTAATGTACTTAATTTATATATAAATTAGATGTATTTAATTGTTCAATAAATAAAATAAAATAAAATTTGTTTATAATGTAAAACGGAAGGATTATATGTGCAGAGGATTCTCTTTTGTATATAAATTAGCCTAGATATATGACAACACTCTGCATGCATGACAACACCACAACATGCACTTCCAAGACAAAACTAAACATGCACGCCTCCCTTCTTCCATGTCACATGCATGCCTGACAACACTCTGCATGCATGACAACACCACAACATGCACTTCTAAGACAAGACTAAACCTGCACGCCTCACATGCATGCTTGACACTTGCTCTGCATGCATTTCCAGGTCACATGCATGCTTGACACTTGCTCTGCATGCATTTCCAGGTCACATGCATGCTTGACACTTGCTCTACATGTATTTCTAGGTCACATGCATTCGTGAATTATAAATAGAGGTTCTTCAATTCTCAAACTCTTCTCATCCCAACAAACTCTTCTCATCCTCATACCAGCAAACTCTTCTCATTTTCATACTCTCAAACTCTTCTCATCCCAACAAACTCTTCTCATCCTAACTCTCAAATTCTTCACCCAACAAACTCTTCTCATCCCAACTCTCAAACTCTTCTTCACCCATCAAACTCTTAACCCACAATGTCTCTACTCATAACGGGCAACTCTCACAGAGGCACAATTGAGAACATCGCGGAGTTTGTAAGTATTTTTATTTTTGTTGTCTATGTTTACGAAGTTTAATTCTCCTTTAAAACTAACGACATTTAAATTCTTTGGCAGGATGCATCAAGGTTTCGTTGTCGTGTGCATGACTACATACCACACGACCCTTTAATAGAGGGATACCTTGAAGCATGTGGGTTCGGTGATTTGATTAAAATCAAATCGTACTCACTTGATCCCAAGTTTATTCTAGCGTTGTTAGAACGCTGGAGACCAGAGACACACACATTTCACCTACCTTTCGGTGAGTGTACTGTAACTCTTCAGGATGTTTATATGTTGCTTGGCCTACACATCAACGGTAAGTCCGTCAACGGAAAAGTTGGTGTTAACGACCAACTTTGCAAAGATTTAGTGGGCGCCCCTCTTTGTGTGGAAACAACTCAACCAAAACGCAAGGGTCGACCAAGGGGTCAAGGTATTAATCTTAAATACCTCAGAAAACACTACAACAATATTGTCATAAGTAAGGAGTCCACCGAGTATGAGAAAATACTCAAAACTCGGTACTATATTATGATATTGTTTGGTCATTTTTTATTTCCAGATAGTACTAGAAATACTGTAAATATTATGTATTTACCGTTGTTGCATAACATAAACAGAGTGTGCACATATAGTTGGGGATCAGTTGTCCTCGCTCATCTATATAGTGCACTATGTACAAATGCAAAAAACATTCTTGTACTTTTTATGGTTGCGCCTATCTCCTTCAAGCGTGGGGTTGGTCTAGGATGCCAACACTTACTCCAGTCAACCGCAATCCATTTACATTCCCATATGCTAACAAGTAAGTTTATTTTCAAGACTAATTTACAACCAAAGTTTCTTTGTAACTTAATTATTTGTACGATGTGTCTTAGAGTCTAACTTATTTGTGTTTCTTTTTTTTAGGTGGTCTGTTCCGAGGATGAATAATCAAAGATGTCCCAGGAACTCCATAGTCGTGTCCCGCAGCCTTATCGAACACATTGGGCCAAATGATGTAATTTATCTACCTTTACTTTGTCTAACTTATATGCACAAACTTGTATTTCTCATTGCGTATATTGTTATTCTAGTTTGTCTGGATGTCGTACGAGGGTCTCGGCCACCAGCCCAATGCCGATGATGCTGCCGTGTGGACATCCAAAACACCCATCATTAGGTTCACTACAATGGAGATGCACCAAAGTGACCGGGTGAAACTACATTTTGGGATGCATCAGGATATTCCAGATGCTCCGACGTCATTGGGACACTGGCATCAGCTACGGGTGGATTTACAATGGAGTGCTGGTCATTGGAAGGACTTTGCGAAGGAGATGTGTCAGCATTGGAAGAAACGACGTCAACATATCTTAACCGACCCTATTGTGGAAGGGGCTAGGCCAAGTTATCAATATATGATTTGATTTAGGTCGGTTACAACATCACAACCATTTTTGTCTGAGCCGACATATTAGATTGACCCGAGACAACGTGTGTCTTCCTCGAATCCACATCAACAACCAAATGCCCAACATCAACAACAACAATCTTACCATAACCCATACATGCCACCAAATGCCCAACATTAACAACAACAGCCCTACCATGACCCGTACATGCCACCAACCCAATCATAACGACAACAACCTTACCCATATAGCCCTGATACGTCTTTTGACCCTACCCCAGATAACTCTTTTGACCCTACCCTTTCCACCTATCCACTTTTTGACTACCAATCCCCATAACAACCAATACATCGTTTCCAAACCGATTCGATGTACCAATTCGGATAACCATACCGTCCTTACTCCGCCCAACCTCCCCGACAATCCTACGAACACATGGGCATTGGGCTTAATTGAAGAAGCACTGTTGATAGTGGACCTCCCGGCTATTGGGGTCAAATGCTTCAAAATTTATCTGATACGTCGGGGCCGTCCGAACAAATACCTTTTCCACAAGTCAACACCCAAAGACCGGACACACCTCAGCAACCTCGTGGTAGACCTCGTCGCCGCGCGCATCCTCCACAATGTGGTACCGATGGTTGTTTAGATAGAGTCGGTCATTAATTCTTTTTTTTTTATCAATTGTAATTTATATTCTATTATAAATTAATATATTTTACTATTTATTCCATTTATTTTTTTTAGATTATTTAAATTTCAAACATTATTTTAATTCTGTTATAAAATTAAAATTAAAAAAAAAACAAAAAATAAATAAAAATAAAAAGAAACAAAAAAAAAACAAAAAAAAATTAGAAACCTTAACGGAAAAAAAACATAAAGAACTGATTCGCCAGATAATATGGCGAATCCTTTAAAAAAAGTTGGATTTTTTACACAAAATTTACCAGCCCATATGACGAATCCACTCTTGGTTGCATTGATTCGCCAGCCCATTTGAGGTTCGCACATTGAAATATAGCCATTTTAAAAATTATTTTCAAAACATATTTTATTTGAAATTTTGGTTGAAAACATTAGTTAGTTTAAAAATAAATTCCCCTTTTTTACTTCTAGATGACCTTGAAGAATGAAATTTATTTTCTACCAAGTAACTAGTTTGAAGGTTTAACTTTAGATGTATGCATCTTACCAAACTGATTTAACAACTAAACTTTATGAAAGACAAAATAAGGTGATAAAGGTACAATGTCTATTTCATTGCATAGAAAAGAAATGAAACCATATATCATAATCCCGCATAAAATGTGACACATTCATTGAATTTGCATTATTATCAACACTTATTATACATAACCTCAGTACAATTATTTTATACTCAATTTATATTAAGCAGCAAAATGCAACACCATATAAATGGTTGTACAAATACAATAATAATCAAAACTCTTCAACAATTATTATTCCAAAAATAATATGAATTCCTCTGTTGAATATCATACATATATATTAAGTCTTCTTAGGAGCAACTTTGGCCTTAATTTCATCAACCTGTTTAGTATCAATCTGGAAGGCCTGAGCAAGAACATCATCAGGAACAGTTGGGGTTGATCCAAACAGAGCTGAAGCAATCGAAAAAGTACCAGGAAGTTGACTGTTAAAAGCCGAAATCACCGAAGCAGCTTTATCTCCACTATTCTTCTGATAATGCACCAAACCTTTTGGGAAAACAAAGACTTCACCCTTTTTGATGGACTTAGAAATGAGTTTGTCAGATGTAGTGATAAAACCAACATCTAATTCACCTTCTAACACGAAAACAATCTCGGTGGCACGAGGGTGCGTGTGTGGCGGGTTAAGTCCTTTAGGTTTGTAGTCAATTCTTGATAAAGACACTCCTAATGTGTTGAGCCCTGGAATTTTGTCAACATTGGCTGGAGTAACCAAAGATCCCACTGTATTGTTGATAGCTTTAGGATTTGCTAAACCATTGAAAAAGAAATCAGCCGCTGTTATATTTGCTTCTGCTTTGCATGCAAATCCATTAACTTTAACACCTGTACATAACATAAACAATATACTGTAATGAAAGTTTCTATTGGTTTCTCAAAATATATCATAAGTGTTTAATATATGTTACCTGAAGAGGGAAGAGCTACACAAAGGTCTTGAAGTGTGTCAGGATCAGAAGCCAAGGTAAATGAAATGGCACAGCATAAAATCACCAAAATTGACCAATTTGTTGGTGACATGGCTAGAGAGAAGAGAGGAAAGTTTTTGTGTTGAATGGTGAGAAATTTGGTAATAAGGTTCTCTTTATATATGGCATAAGACAGTGGTTACTATTGGAAGAGTAGATGAACAAATGTGATGGTAAAATCCTTAAACTTAAATTCAAAGCAATTCATTAAAAAAAAAGTATAGTAACTAGTAAATGAATATATAGATTATTAGTTTGTTGGTTGGTGGGAAAATGTGAAGAATGAGGTTTGGTGAGAGATGTAATGTGAAGTGATAATTAAGCAGATCTAAATTAGACCAATCATGCATGCAAAGTAGTAGTAGTAGTAATCAACTCTAGAACTTATCAATCATGCAAAAAGACCTTATTGATTGTAAAAGAAAAAGAGTCTGTAATAAGAGAATTGAGTATAAAGAAAAGCACCAATGACAATGAATGGATGCATCACCCACCGCTTCACTTTCAATGTTATGCTTCTTGATAGATCTTGAGGCAGCCAGGAGTTCTTTTTATTTATTTACCAAATATCATACACTTCTTAAAGTTAAATAACTTTATCAAACCAGTCCTTTTTTTTTTTTAGTTTTACTAATCATTGTTACTTTATGTAAATTGAAAATTTTTAATTATAAAAGTGGGGTTTAGGCCCCCATTGAAGACAAAATAAAAACACAATTTCTTATTTAATTCTATGATGTGAAAAATTATTCTATAAAAATTTAAAATGTCTCGTAATTTTCGAAGATATATTTTTAAATATACTATTTGCTGAATGACGCACAAATAAGTGTTATCCCATTTAAAAATAAAATTTTGTTTCGCAGATGTATCTTCGAAGATATCCATTCAATATATCATTTATTTAGCATTTCAGTGGAATTTCCGAAAATGTATTTCTAGAGTTTTGAAACAACAAATTGAAAATTTGTCACTTTTGCATGTCAATCATTTCGAAGATGCATTTCTGAAAATATCAAATGTGATTTTAATAAAATAACAATCTGCATAATCAAACTCATACCTATTTTTTCTAGAAAACTTTTCAAAAACCTTTCTATTCTCAATCAAAATTTTCATTCCAAAACTTCATACTTTGTAGCACTACTACAAAAAACTCATATAATAACGGTTGCGAAAGATCTATAATAACGGTTGAATAACCGTTGTTAGGTAGGGTGTGGTTGTAAATGAGTTATTTACAATCACAGTCTATTGTCTGTGATAGTAAACTGGATAGCACGCTACATACAACCACATTTGTATTAAACAACCGTTGTTGTATGTCTTTTAATAAAATAAAATAAAAATACAGCAGTAGAACAACAACAATAATAACAATAAGAACAACAAAAACAACAAGAATAACAACAACAACAACAACAAGAAAAACAAGAAGAACAACAACAAAAACAACAACAACAACAGTAACAACAACATAAAAAAAAACAAGAACAACCATAATAACAAAAACAACATAACAAAAAAAAGAACAACAACAACTAACACTGCTAACTTGAATCCATACTTTCTTTGTCTCATTCAAGTTGGAGAAGAGACGATGGAGTTCTGAAATTTGTTAATGAAAGAAATGATGTTTTTGAGTTTTTTTTAATGGAAGAAATAATATTTTCGAGTTTGGTTTAGTGGAAAAATAGAGTGTCGTAAATGAAAGATAATGTTTGGAGGTAGAAGATAAAGTTCATATAAGTTGGAAATTCGTCTAAGTTTTAGGCTTCACACTGATCACTAATGGTAGTGTTTTGAGCGTTGATAATCACTAAATGGACGACAAATATTTATATTAAATAACGCGCAATGTTAGTACAACGGTTGTATTAAATAACCGTTGTTGTATGCATTTTAATAAAATAAAATAAAATGTTAGTACAGGTTGGAAAAACAAAATTGTGAACAACGCACTACATACAACAACAGTTGTATTAAATAACCGTTGGTGTATGTTTTTTAATAAAATAAAATAAAATGTTAGTACATGTTGAAAAGACAAAACTGTGAATAATGCGCTACATACAACAACAGTTGTATTAAATAACCGTTGTTGTATGCCTTTTAATAAAATAAAACAAAATGCAGCATACAACAACAACAAGATTCAAACTCATGACCATGAACCACTTTTCACCACGGTTGAAAGTTTCAACCGTGGTAAAAAGTGACTTAAAAATAAACAAAAAATAAAATTCTATGTGCTAGGATTTGAAGTCATGACTAGGCGTCACTTTTCACCACAGTTAGAAGTTTCAACTGTGGTGAAAAGTGACCTTAAAAATGAAAATAAACGGAAAGTGCCTAATTGAATAGATTCTACAACGTTGAACCCTTTGATCGTTGTGAAATAAAATACGGTGGCGTTACGAAAGCTAATTTTTATAGTAGTGTAGGTATCACATAACAAAGAATTACTGTGAGAAGTCGGGCTAAACCCGTGGTAGGGATGAAACAGATAAATGTCGAAGATGGAAAATGGTCAAGGTGCACGTGATAGTTGAACAAATCATAGATGTATGAAATGTTATAATAAAATTCTTCTACAAAAGAGTTATATGCCAATGTTACTATGCATTTCAACAAAGTGTGTGAGAAATATCCTGATTTGCTGAAATATGTTGGAAGTAAATTTTTGTACTAGGTGAAGGAGAAAATTGTATGTGCTTGGACCAGTCAAGTTAGACACCTTAAAAATGTAACAACAAACCGAGTTAAATCTGCCCGTGCTACACTAAAAATTGGATGGGAAGTAGTAAGGGTGATTTGTGTAGAGATTGTGACTGTGTGAACCAAATGATCTAAAATTAGAATAATTAGATACACACATCATTTGGTCGTAGCATCACAGTGTTGGAACATAGATTCAAAGACAACGATCTTTATTCTAAGTTGGTCGGAAACATATCTCGAGCAAGTCTGAATTGTATTTTACATGAAGGCAAACGAACTGATAATGTAGGTTCCGATAGCTCAAAGTGTGGTTGCACACTTGTGAAAACCTATGGTATCCCATGTGCTTGTCTTATATCTAAAAAGATGAAACTTGATAGCCCGATACAAATGGATGAAGTTTGCACTTACTGGAAAAGGCTCATGTTTGATAATGATGGTGTCATGAAAGACGATAAGTCAAACATCTCTATCTTGACCGAAAGGGAAATGATACAAGAGAGATTTTTGAAAACCGATGAGAATATGAAACTCCACATCAAAGAACAATTGAGGAAGGTTGCTTATCCAGAAACCACTGACTTGAAACCACCATCTCAATCGGTAAAAACAAAGTGTGCTCCTAAGAAGGTCAAACCTACATCGAGTGACAATTCATCAATGCGGTCTCCTTCATATTTTAAACATGTTGACAAACTTTTTCTGGATTCACCAACTCCGAAATCTATAAAAAATGATTTCAAAGGAGCTCACATTAGCAAACCACATCATTCACCACCTCCACCAAAAATTTCATTCATTGATGAGATGTCAATTTTTATGCATAAATATATTGAACGGGTCGTCAATGTTAAGGGTGATGGTAACTGCGATTTTTTTAGTTATTTTTGCTTTGCTCGATAAAAGAGAAGAGGATCACACACTCGTCTGCCATCAACTTATCCAAACGTTGAGGGTCCATAAAGAATCATACACACGACTATACATGAAAAAAGAAAATTTTGATGCAAATTTATGAATCTCGTGTTCCTTGCATTAGTGGACCGACATCAGAGGATAAATAGATGCGCTTCCCTAAAATGGGTCATCTCATAGCAAGTGAATATGATAAAGTGCGTATTAATATTACAAGATATAGTTTCTCGAAAATATTTTTTCTAGTGTGCACCGCCTCACCTTAAAATCCAAATGATCGTATTATGTGCATTGAGTGACTTTCAAAATTGCATCACTTTGTTCAAGTTTATTTGAAACCGGGATGCCCTATACAACTTAAATCACTAGAGTGGACAACTCATTCAACAACAAAAGCCGAGACTTGACCGAATCATTTTGTGAAAAGGATACAAGAGTTTATCAAATATAAGAGAATCAAACCAACAAAATTCAAAGGGGGTACCATCCATAGTTAGAGATTTAACCGGCGACAAATATTTCAATTTGTTTTAATTTTGCATCATCATTGTATTGTATGTAATCGTGTATTAATACTAATGATATCTAAATATACATTTTCAAATATATATATATATATATATATATATATATATATATATATATATATATATATATATATATATATATATATATATATATATATATATATATATATATATATATATATATATATATATATATATATATATATATATATATATATATATATATATATATATATATATATATATATATATATATATATATATATATATATATATATATATATATATATATATATATATATATATATATATATATATTAGTCCCAATAAATATACCAACATTCAATTTTAGTCTCTATAAATTTTTTCTTCAAACAATGGTCTTCATAATTTTTTTCGTTCCTAAATTTGGTCTCTTCCATTAGTTTCCACTAACGGAGGCCTACGTGTCATGCCAAATGTGATTTTTTTTGCTTACGTGTGAATTGTAATAGCTATATTCACCATGTGGAATAGTTGATAACGTTATCTTGTTACCCTACAAGAGAGATAAGGATAAACAACCTTAACATTTCGATTGAGTGTTGTGCCCTAGAACAATCTTTAGTATGCGTTGAAAAGAACTTCACTGTGGTCAAGGAACAAGTCTTCTTTGTTGCAGTGGTCCCAAAAACAACTTTGTAATCCTCGTCGCAATGGTCCCATGAAATGCCATTTGTCGCTGCTTTGTCCTCTTGTTTCTTATTTTTTGTCATCTTTATTGCTTTCTCATACTTAGTCGCACTCAGTGGTCCCAAATTATTTACTATGTTACATATTATTTCCATTTGTATAAAAGTTAAAATTATGGTAAATTTGTTTGACTTAATTTTGATAAAGTTGTTAGAACAAATTTTGGTAAATTTGTTTGACCTAATTATGGTTAATTTTAAACCTAAGTGAAATTTTTGAACAGAAAATGGATAAATTTAAGGTTGTGCTTTACTCAAAGGGATATTTTGTAAAAGATCATAACATAAGATATGATGGTGGAGAAGTATATGCTTTTACGGGTCAAGATCCTGATTACTGGTATTTTTTTGAAGCTTGTAACTTAGTTAAAGTGATTGACCCTGAGTTTGACTTAAGTTGTGTTAATATATGGTGGAAACATGATGAAGGATCCTTTGAACAAGACTTAAAACCATTTAGGGATGATGGAGATGCTTTTGAATTAGCTATGTACGTTGTCGGAAACCATTGTGAAGTTGAGATATTCTGTGAGCTAAACCAGTTACAAGAGAGACCACCTTTATGGATAGGTTTAGAGAGAAAGGAAATGGGAAGACATGTGATGAAGATGATGACAAAGAATGTGAAACTAGTGGTGATTCTAATGATGAATCTGTGAGGGCGTCAACTTTGATGATAGTAAGGAGGAAAGAATGAAAGGGTTTAATGAATAGATTGATGGAGAACCTATAAATGAACCTGTAGCTAATAATGAAGGTCCAACTCAACCATACAGGAAGATGTTTATTACAGAAGAGACGGGTAAGGAACATGTCATTGAAGATTCATACACGACTGATGAACTGGATAATGGAGGTGATGATGACAGTTGCGATGAAAGGCCATGTGTAATCAGGTTAAATGTAGAAGATTCTCTAAGTAATGATTTTGTTTTCAAGGTTGGAATGAAGCTTTCTTCATTGAAGCAGTTTAAAGATACTATATTAGAGCATAATGTTTTAAATGGTAGGGATGTTAGGTTTCAGAAAAATGACGTTAACATATGTAGGGTGGTATGCAAGGAGAAGACAAAATGTAACTATACAGTCTTGTGCAATAGAGTTTTATCCTCCACCACATTTAGGATAAAAACATTGTAGAGAACAGGTGTGGAAGATAATTTTTCAACAAAAGTGCTAAAGCAGAGTGGATTGTCAAGATCATTGTTGATGGATTAAAGAATAACTCAAAGATGAAGTTAAGTGAGGTGGTAGCAGATGTTAGACACAGGTATGTCACAGAAATCTCAGGTTGTAGAGCTTTCAAAGCAAGACAGATTGCAAGACACATAGTTGAAGGAGACTCTAGCAAACAGTTTAACTTACTATGGTCTTATGGTGCTGAGTTGAGAAGGACTTCAGCATGTAATACTTTTAAAATTAACACTAGTGCTTCAACTCCTGGTCTGAAACCTAGATTTGAGAGGTGTTATATGTGTTTTGATGGGACCAATAAAACTTTGACAAAAGCATGCAAACCATTCATTGGCTTAGATGGATGTCATTTGAAGCAAAGTATGGTGGCATTTTACTGATTGTTGTTGGAAGAGACCCTAATGACCAATATTTGCCTATTGTTTTTGTTGTGGTTGAGACTGAAACAAATCATGGAGCTGGTTTATTAAATTACTTCTTGAAGACATTGGACATGACAAATGGTGTTTCATATCTGACAAACAAAAAGTAATTTTGAATCTCATTAAAGATTGTTTAAGGAACTTGTTATTTTCTAATGCACTTGTTATTTTCTTGGAATAGGTTCTAGTTCAGGTGTTTGAAGAGGAGTACCCATGTTTTGAACACAAATTCAGTTTAAGGCATTGCTAACTTCAAAAAGAAGTTTGGTGGAGGAACACTGTTTAGAGATTTTATGATAGCTGCTGCAAAAGCTACTTATTTTGAGGCACATGAATCAAATATGCTTATGATTAAAGAGGTTAGTTTGGAGGCATATGAATGGCTAAAGACAATTCTCAAAATTAAATGGGCACAACATAAAACGAAACTATCTTCCACCAATCACCCTATGACACTTCTCCTAATAGATCCGTGTGGCTTACAATATGCCACCATTATTCAACCTGTTATAGCCTATGCAGTGAACAAAGTCTCTCAATTTATGCAAAAGACACTCACTTTAAAGTTGTCAAAAGAATTCTGTGATACCTTCAAGCAACAACAAACTTTGGTCTCACTCTCACTAAATCCATTAATCTGAAACTATATGCTCTAGGTGATGATGATTGAGGATTTGATATTGATAACATTACATCTCCACCTCCCAGCTACTGTCATAACCTCAGTGTTATGCTTGCATCTAACCAATTTATATACTCCATAACACAACACTTTGAACTTGCCACTCGTTTTACTTAAAAAAAAGATTCAAATAAGAGATCTAATGGTTCATCATATCTCTTCAACTAATAAAATATTATTGCAAAGCCTAGACTTCCAAGTTCCAACCATGTTCTTCATAACTAAGAGTTACTTAGTTATTTTTCATAAATTATCATTTTCTCAATATAGTACATAGATCAAATCCTCTCATTATAACCTTAGATGTATGCATCTGACCAAACTGATTTAACAACTTAATATTATGAAAGAGAATGTGAGGTGATAAAGGTGCAATGTCTGTTTCAGTGCATATAAAAGAAATGAGTGAAACTATATATCCCACATAAAATTTGACACATTCATAGAATTTGCATTATTATCAACACTTATTCTACATTATCTCGATACAATTATATTATACTCAATTCCATATTAAGCAGAAAAATATAACACCATATGATCAAAACCTTATTTCAAAAATAATATGAATTCCTGTCTCCAATATCATACATATTAAGTCTTCTTAGGAGCATGTTTGGTCTTAATTTCATCAACCTGTTTAGTATCAATCTGAAAGGCCTGAGCAAGAACATCATCAGGAACAGTTGGGGTTGATCCAAACAGAGCTGAAGCAATCGAAAAAGTACCAGGAAGTTGACTATTAAAAGCCGAAATCACAGAAGCAGCTTTATCTCCATTGTTCTTCTGATAATGCACCAAACCTTTTGGAAAAACAAAGACTTCGCCCTTTTTGATGGACTTAGAAATGAGTTTGTCAGATGTAGTGATAAAACCAACATCTAATTCACCTTCTAACACGAAAACAATCTCGGTGGCACGAGGGTGCGTGTGTGGCGGGTTAAGTCCTTTAGGTTTGTAGTCTATTCTTGAGAAAGACACTCCTAATGTGTTAAGCCCTGGAATTTTGTCAACATTGGCTGGAGTAACCAAAGATCCCACTGTGTTGTTGATAGCTTTAGGATTTGCTAAACCGTCGAAAAAGAAATCATCTGCTGTTACATTTGCCTCCGCCTTGCATGCAAATCCATTCACCTTAACACCTGTACATAACACAAACAGTTATGGAAGTTTCTATAGTTCTCTCAAACAATATCATATAGTGTTTAATATACATTACCTGAAGAGGGAAGAGCTACACAAAGGTCTTGAAGTGTGTCAGGATCAGAAGCCAAGGTAAATGAAATGGCACAGCATAAAATCACCAAAATTGACCAATTTGTTGGTGACATGGCTAGAGAGAAGAGAGGAAAGTTTAGAGTTGGATGGTGAGAAATGTGGCAAGAAGGTTCTCTTTATATATGGCATAAGGCAATGATAAGAGTAGATGTACCAAATATGAGGGTGAAGTAGTAGTATAAAATCCTTCAACTTAAATTTAAAGCAATTTAGTAAAAAGTCTTTACTAGAAAGATAACTATATGTCTGAAATTGATGTTATAATAAAAATCAACATACAGGTATTAGTTTGTTGGTTGCTGGGAAAATGTGAGCATTGACAGTTGAATGAAAATATGTTTGGTGAGAGGATCTAAATTAGACCCACCATGCAAAGTAGGTACTGATCAATTCTAGAACTTGCCAACTTCTATCCTTTCTTTCTTTTATACTTTTGCGGCTAAATATTTTGTAGTATCGTTTTTAAACCATATTTATTGTTTTTAAGAAAATGAACATGTAATAAGAGAATTGACTAAGAAGTTTAGCATCAAATACAAAATCTAAGCAACCTAGACAAGGAATGGATGCGGCACCCACCGCTCAGTTTCATTGTTGCTTTCAAAATGTTACGCCTTCTCAATAGATTTTGAGCGCAGCACGGAGTTGTATGGTTAATGTTAGTCACAACTTAAGAAATTCATTTATAATAAATTAATAAAACTATTGTTTTAGTTTTTAAAATTATTTTAAAATATCAAATTTATTCCTTAAAATTTTTTTAAAAAAACTAAAGTGTTAAAAAAAACTTAAGAAATTAATTTGATATTTTTAAATAATTTAAAGGATCTAGACAATAGTTTTGCCTAATAAATTTATATTAAAAAATTATATATTTTTATTAAGGTATAATTAGTTTCTAAGTCCAGTAAATTATTTATAAATTGCGACATAGTCCCTCAATAAAGTAAACGATTCGATTTGGTCCCGTAATATTATTTTTGTTAACATGTTTGATCCATTATGTTCATACATGTGTTAGAGTGTTAGTTACTATCAGGGTGGCGTTCCAACTGTATGTTTAGTCATCAAAATGAATAATTAATTTAGTTTTTAAAGGGTTAAATGTTTGCTTCATGATAATGGTTTCCAGCAAAAACAATTGTAACTTCTTGCATCTTCTTCTCAGCATATTCCTCTTCATGGTTCATTCATCTTCCTTCTTGTAGCTTTATTCATCTTGTTCTCTGCTTCTTGTTCTCTTCATCTTGTTTTTTTTATTTTGTCTCAAATCTCAGGGTTTATCTTTCTTCTTCGTATCCAATGTCTAAAATGCCAAGCAATTCTTCAATTGGTACATCTGGGTCGATTGTTCGAAGAAACAAAAGGAGGGAGTGCTTTTGCCAAGATGAATGTGTGCTTCGTACCGTGGGTGACACGAGTAGTGTCAATTTTGGAAAAAATTTTTGGGGTTGCAGAAATTTCAAAAATCATGTGAATAAAGGATGTAATTTATTCAAATGGTTCGACGACGATATTATTGATGAAAGAGATTTGAAGATCCAGAGGCAGAAGAAGAAAATTTACAGGTTGAAGTATGAGATCATCAACACAAGGGGATGGTTGAAATTGTCTACAATCATTGGAATATTGAGCTTATTGTTTAATGTTATATTTGTAACAATTATTTTTTAGGTTGGTTGTTTTTCTGTGTAATGACATGTAGTTGTGAGTAAGGAGGTTGAATTGTATCTGTGAAATGTTTTGTCAATATTGTTATGTATTTGTCAAAATATATCAATGAAATGTAGTTGTTTTTGTTTGTGAAATGTTACTTTTGTATCTATCAAAATTTATCAATGAATTGTATCTCTGAAATGTTACTTTTGTTTGTTTCCCACAATTACAAGAACAGATGCAAACTATAAAATGGTCATAACAATAGTCACAAAACCATAACATTAGTTGCAATATTTACATTACAAGTCATTACAAAAGTGGCGTTGCAAGTCATTAAACATAACTAGAGTATAGGCATTTTATGCCATATGTTACATCAGTTGAAATTCAATAAAAGTGGCATTATAAGCCTTAGTCTTAAACTACATAATAGGACAAAAGTAGAATAACTAGTACACATCAAAGATAAACATAATCTTATGGTTGGCTTAAAACAGGTTTTAGACCCTTTTGAAGTCTCTTTTTTTTTTTTGGATATTTGTTGAGTTGAACCTCCATCTGGTGTTGTTGTAGGCAGTTTGCAAGTGGACTTGTTGTGACCATCTTTATGGCACCTGCTTCACTTGATACCAAATTTGGCCCTTTTGAGTTATGTCTTATTTCTAACTTGTTCTCCAACATCTCTATTCCTTTTCTTCTTAGGTCTACCAGACTGTCTTTTTATGACGGGTGGTTGCAGGTCAACAACATTTGTTTTAGTCTAAAGAGATTCTCCATTGAATGGATAAATCATTGGTGCATAGAAAGCTTCATAATACTCCTTTTTATAATAATCAGGAATAAAATCATCTACTTATAAATGTTGATCCTTCATACATGCAAGGGCATGACAGCATGGTAGCCCAGTCAACATCCACCTTCTACATGAACACTCATGCTTTGACAGATTAACAACAAACTTTTCTTCAATGAGTGATATGTGTCTAACCTCATAGTCTACTTCACATGTATGCCTGTCACCACTTATCACCTAGTCACACAAGATATCTCATAAATCACACATTGCAGTAAAAGAAATTGTAAGTACAAATGCTTTTTAAAATTATGAGTTCATATACGTACCTCTTTAAAATGCTTGACTCTCTACGTATCTTCTTCTGCTATCATTTTCGCAAACTACCGTCGCCTTCAACCACGATCGTCTTGTTCTTCGCAGCTGCTAGGATTTTTTTAAGGAACGAAGAAGCAACAATGAAGTTCTGAGAGTAGCTGAATAGTTTAGGATATTAGTTACTAAAAAAGAAAACAAAAACGATTTTAGCAACACCAAAGGTCTCCTATTGACACATCAGAAAGAAAATAGGGTGAAAAAAATAAAAACAATGCCACCTAAGTATCAAAAAATGTCACATAGACGCGTTTTAAAGTTTTTACCAATGAAACTAACGGAAGGAATTTATTGTGCTAACGGAGTGTCCTTAAAGGACTATATTAAAACGTTTTTTAATTGTGGGACTAATTAGAAACAACAAAATAACTTAAGGGACTAAAAGATGAATTAAGCCTTTTATTAAAGATAATACAACATCTTTCAATTTAATTCTTAACTTGTGTCTTAAGACAAGTTAACATTACTCTTTATTTATTGATCAAATATCCTACATTACTTAAAGTTAAATAATATTAACTAATTACTAGTATTTTTAAAAAAATATTTTATCATATATATATATATATATATATATATATATATATATATATATATATATATATATATATATATATATATATATATATATATATATATATATATATATATATATATATATATATATATATATATATATATATATATATATATATATATATATATATATATATATATATATATATATATATATATATATATATATATATATATATATATATATATATATATATATATATATATATATATCTTAAAGTTAAATAATCTTAACAAATTATTAATATTTAAAAAAAAATGATTAAATATGTTTGTGATCCTTATAAATATCTTATATTTCACTTTTAATTTCTTAAAAAATTTCCTTCAAAAAAATCCTTTTAAAAATTTTCATTTACACTTTTGATCTCTCGTTAAAACCGTCGCTAATTCGGTTGTTAAGTAGTAAATAGTCGCTAAAACACTCACCAGCTAAGTTGAAGGAAGGACAAAAAATATATATGAAAAATTTTAAGATGGCCATTTTTTAAAAAGGAAAATTATTGAAGGATTAAAAATAAAATATGAGATATTTAGAAAAAGCACCGATATATTTAATCCAATTTTGTTTATCATATATTCCTTAAATTTCTAATAAACTATTTTTTGGGAGGCTCTTTTTATTGGAAAAATAAAACTCATCAAACAATAGAAGTTATATTTTTAAGAATCTTGCTAACGAGTGCCCATAACACAACAAAGTTTAACATTTTTAGGTCCTCTTGTGTCTATGATTTTTTTTTAAATGTTGGATCATTCTTTCAATATCATCCTGTATATCCTATTTTCAAAATAATAAATTTATAATGATTAAATTAATTTTATGAATCATTTGAATCATAAATGACTATGTAGTAGTCGCATGGCCATGAATTGGTACCACTAGACCCTTATAACATTTGGTTTATAATCTGAACCTAATAATATATAACAGTTGCAAATATACAATGATTCAATAGATATTTGACTTTCCTAAGTGACAACAATTTCTCTATAAATAAAGATATTTGTCCAATAGAAAATATACACGAAAATTACTTGTTTCAAGTGCCAAAGATTATTGATATATTTAATGTGAATGTGTGATTCATATTAAAGTTTCTAAAATATCTTGAAGGAGATTTGCCGGATTACCCATTTGCATCCAATTTTTCTAAATTAGTGGGACAAACCGAACCTAAAACTTAATGTAAACACACACTTTGAAATTTATTTTGTGGAACATTCATCATACTATATTCATCTTCTTCTTGTTCATATTTTACCGCAAAATCTCAACACAAGATCTAACCATCTTTAGGTTCGATTTTTTATTTTAAAACAAATTAACACCCATACTTTCTTATTCATTACTATGGTGAAAGATACATAATTATATTAAATAAATATGTCATTTATACGATGTTTTAAATTCATGTAAAATATGTTAAAAATAATATTTATTTATATTAAGTTTAACATGTGCCATAAATGTATGTATGTGTGATTTATAAATTATTAAGGTATGTAAATTTGGATAATTAAGAAGATATTTGATTATGGTGTATACTTGAATGTAAAATACATGTATAATTCTTTGATGCAAATAATTTATTTTTATTAATAATGCATTATTTATGGATGAAATAATTTGGTAAAAAATTCATGATT